CGCAGTTCATGACTTTCGCATACAACGGGAATGGCAATCAAGTTCTGTATGCGTCGTGTCAGCTCTAGCCTCGTCAGCGTTTACTCATGATTACCTGCATGTATTTCTCCAATGCTTGTCGCCTAGTGTCTACAAAGCTCCCAGATAGCGAGGTGACCAGTCGTTTTCCTGGAAAATCAAGACCACGAACCATGGTGTAATTGTCCCGGAGCTTATTGTGCATTCGTAAAAATTCGTTGTACCGCCGGGCCACGACCCAGCCAGAGGCAAAATTTCCATCAGGGGCCAGTTGTTGCACCTCGACAAGATACCGTACAATAGACTTCCCTTCTTCCTCGCCAACAGTGGAATTGACGATCGAAACCCTAGTTCGATGTGGAACAAGACGGTTGGCGGTTTCTTGTTGCTCGTACTGAGTTTTCTGGAATTGAAGTTCCCTCAGCTCTTGTGCCACTGACGACTTCGCCTTGCGAAGAAGGCGAAGCTCCTGGATATCGCCTGTCAACTCTGCCTTGTTGATGAGCGTATCGAGCATGCCGGCATGGGCATCGAGCTTGGCGATCTTATCTCCGATACGGGATATTTCGTAGGAAAGCTGAAGATCCCCGGGTCTTGCGAGTTGAAACGTCCCTTGACCAGCATGCGTGTTGCTTTCCGGGCCATCCTCTTCTTCGTCTACGTTGATATCATCTTCCTCGTCTCCAAAGGCGGCTCGTTGCCTCCTTGAACTAGAAACGCTGGAGTTCAGGCGCTCAACTTCATCCTCACTTGGGTCATGTATCCGCTGCGAGTGTCGATCCGTTGCAATAATATCGGTCAAGGCAGCCTGGATAGCCTCCATTCGCTCTGATTCGTTGACACTGGATCTCTCATCAGGGTCGTCGAAAAGAGGAGCACGCGACGATGCGTCTGACACAGGTGACATGAGCACGTCAATATTACTCCGTGATCCTGAGGGAGACGAGGCCATAACGGACAGCTCCGCGGCAGTAATGCCGGTATGAGGGTACTCGGAAGGACGCGTGGAAACCAGAGAAGGAGATGACTCTGAGCGTGACATTCGTGACTTTGGCAGTCTGTTGTGGGCAAGGGCGGGTGGTGGGGAGATGGAACGAGGTTTGTCGACGTGGAACGTAGAACCAGACGCCTTGCCATTTCCTAGCGAAACGTCCTCGACTACGCGGAACCAGAGCTCTGACTTCCGAAAATCCTCAAAGTCACCTTCCATGTCTTGCTCTACTTCCCTCTGTGCCAGCATGACACTTCGCCTAACCTTCTTATTCTCAGCAGCGCTTGCAGACACCTTGTTTGAAGCGTAGTTCCGGATGGTATTAATATATTTCGTTGAGATGGAGGATAAGGAGGAATGAGGAGGCGTTGCGGCGAAATACAAGTCATTGATCATAGCAATGTCCTCCTTAAGGGTCGTGAAGCTGGACGAGTCCTGGATAGGATCATCTTCGTCTCCGGAACTCGATTCCACAGACTCCAGGGGATTCTTGAAACTTTCAACAGTCAACCAAAATTGCACAAGTAAGGAACGATGCCGACGGTCCATGAACTCCATGAGATATGACAAGGACGTCGGATTCCCCAGGACATCTCGGAATGATATCCCGGGCTTTGCGCCCATTTCCGATGATACCGTCATCTGTTATAGATAGAACCGTTAGGCATTGTGTCTTTACACACTGGATAACAGCAATTTACTGCGTCCGACCCACCACCCAGAACGACTATTCGCTGTTCGACGGTCCGCTTCGCAGTGTATAGTCTGTCTAGGAATGCTACCACATCCTCAGTCCTCTCCCCATTGATCCAATCCTCCTTGTCATGGTTTGCTTTCAGAATATCAGACGTCGTCGATGAGTTTGACGTGATATGAGACTTACCTAGTAATTGCCTCGTTCTTCGAATCTCTCCCATGATATCGTTCTTTAGGCGACGTGCGTCAAGGAGAGAGGAACAGCGATTTATACTTCGGAGAAAAGATTCAAATTGACGGACATCAGTGCGAATCGTGATCGTATCCCCTCCTGGCGCGATGGTCGATGCAACACGATGATGACGGCGGGGGGTCTGAGCTTCGAGAACGTTTCTCACCTTAGAGATGAGCTTTCTGTACCATGATTAATCAAGAGGATTCACAGCTGCAGGTGAACGTACTGCTGATGGATTGCTGCCCCAGCCTAAAGGCGAAGTTTGTATGCATGGTCTGGTCCGAGAACAATATACGCACCACTTGTTCAATGGTACGGTTCCAAAAATCTGGGTCACAGACCGTATCCATAATGGGATACAGCACGGCGCAGGCTACTATCTCCCGCACCACGATCCTAAGCGCCTTGCTCTGAAACTCTTTCTCCGGGAGGACGAAAGGAAGCACGCGATCCACGAGGCCCTTCAAATGTAGCTCCTCGTTTTGTTTGGTGAATGTAGACGAAAGATTGTCGACGGCGGGGTGTAGTTTTCCACCTTTTCCAGTATACCTACTAGCCAAGAGCATGTCAAGCTCTTCTGATTGGGTCAACTGACGCTCTAGTCCTGCACCACGCAGTGCAACTTCCGATTGACGGAATTGTTCGATATGAGAGGTGACCTTGGGAAGAATACGCCTTACAACAAACGAGGCAGAGTCGACAGTTGCTGCGCGCTGCAAGAGTTGTTCAATTGAATCGTGAAGGGCAGTCGAAATGGCCGTTGGAAATGATGGCGACGAAGAAATATCTCTGTACCACGACAGGACAAAGTCACGAACTACGAAAATCAGAATATCATTCAACATGGAGGACGCTACCGGCATTTCTGGGATGAGAGAAGGCAGTGATTGAGGCGATTTCAGTGACCATTGCGAACGAATGAACACCGCCTGCCAAGCAGCAGGTGTGGAGAACGCGAGAGGTCGAGCTGCACGTGAGAGAGGATTGATGCGACTTGCTTCCTTGGAGTCGAGGGCATATCCAAAGGAGACACTGGCCAGGAAGCACGAGAGACCAACCAGGACGACGAAGAACGGTGCGATGAGGAGAAGCGCGAGCGGAGACGACGCGACACGAATGGCCAGTGGTAGCGTCACAGCGAGGACACCGACGAGCAGCACAGTCCGGGTGTTGACCACAGGACGCTCGCTCGAGTGCTGCATCGCAGTCAGTTCAACGTTGGCTAATGAGTGTCTGGCTCTGACTTTCTACTAATCATCGTGAGACAACGTAACCATATTTGGATGTTGTCTAACACTACTACGCGCTACTACTAGCCGACGCGTTTATTATTCGTAGGTCCCTCCTCGGCTCGACTGCACAGCTTGCGGTCTTTGTTTCTCTCTCTTATACATACACATGGCCTCTTTGCAAGCCTCCAACAATGTCCGACCACTATCAACAACAGAGGGCTTTCTTTGTGGTGGTCTCGCAGCGTGTATTGCGGTAAGCTACTCATTTTCCGCTTTAGGTTCACTGAGTGGAACAAATGCGCAGGTGACAGTTTCTAACCCTGCCGAAGTTGCAAAAACGCGTATGCAGCTGCAGGGGGAGCTTGCAAAAGATGGAGGTCAAAAGATCTACAAGAATGCGCTTGACGTGTTCGCAAAGACGTGGAGGAACGAAGGCATTCGAGGACTGCAAAGAGGTCTCAGTCCCGCAGTACGTCTTCTCCTTTCCGCTCCAACTCCATCCTTCTTATGCTTTCCAGTATGCGTATCAGGCAAGAACAATCTTTATAACGACGAGATGGTCCCACTGATTTCCTGCAGATCTTGCTGAACGGGTCAAGGCTTGGTATGCCCGCCTCTATCCCAGCAACTTGAGGTGCCTAATGACGCCCAATAGGATTCTACGAGCCCTTTAGACGTAGCATCAATCGAGCCATAAGCAGGCCTCTGACAGACCAGATCCCTTTGACCTCCTTGCTCGCTGGTGCGGCAAGCGGCGCTGTGGGAGGTTCGGCGCGACGCCATCGTTTCCCGCATTTTCACTCATGGATCCTGTAGCGTCCCTTGGAAATCCCTTGTTCCTCATCAAAGCTCGAATGCAGGTAAGAGATGTCTGCACGATGCCAAGTCACCAACAGCTGTCAAGGCCTATTCCCCAGCGTTACCAGTTGGCACACAGCACCATTACACAAACTCCGTTCATGCCTTTTCGACCATATGGAGAACTGAAGGTTTTCGTGGTCTGGTTCGTGGAATGGATGCTGCTATTCTCCGTACCGCAATGGGCTCGTCTGTACAATTACCGACGTATAACTGGACTAAGAACCAGCTTGTCACGAACGGGATTTTACCTCCAGACAGCGTACTAACATATCTGGCCAGCAGTTCGGTGTCAGGTATTTGTGTCGTGCGTTTCCGACGCCGTATGTCATTTGGTTTGTGTCTGACAAGCCGTTGATAGTGCATTGTGATGCAACCAGCTGATACGGTAACTGAGACTTTCGTGCGTCGAGCATTCCACTGCTGACACCTTGTAGGCCCTCACGAGAGTGTACAACCAACCAACAGTACGGTTACCCAATGGTCACCTGAGAGGCACGTTATACAAGAACCCGATTGACTGTCTCTGGAAGACATTCAAAGCAGAGGGTGTGTTCGGGTGGTACAAAGGTGAGTAGCTTTCGAGCTGCTCATTGCCTAGCGGTGAAGTTCACTGTGGTTTTATAGGTTCAACGGCACATTTCCTTCGGATCGCTCCACACACGTATGTAAACACAACAAATACAGCTGGCGTTCATTGACGACACTTGACATAGGATCATTACTCTCACTGCGAACGATATTATTCTCAGTCTTTACAAGGAACTGGTAGTCAAGAGGTGGCCATAGGTAGTTTGGGAACACTGTTCACGCATTTTGTCATGCCCTATCCTTATGACCGTCATAATAGGACCCAGAGATTGATGTGTGCATGAAAATGTTTTGCAACGAGGTGCCCACGCGTAAATTCAAATAATTTACGCTCACATATTATCCCGCAGGAGAGGAAGGAAAAGAAAAAAAAAAAAGGTGAACCCGACCCGGATTGAACGGATGACCTTGTGGACGACTGCCAAACAGGCAGCTGGAATCACACGCGCTACCACTGCGCCACGGGTTCGTGCTAATGTTGCAAGCAAAGAATATTAACATACACGGTAGAACAGCACAAACATTTCAAATGGCCACCAACGATTACTCTATACATTTCCATCTGGAGTTATGTCGTGTGCTCAAGTACACCTCGCCATCCATCCACGCAGTGGTGTGTGTTGGTACCAAATTCGAGACCTGGAAGAGGAACATCTGAACTTGTTCATGCTGCCAGGTATGGAGACACATGCCATAAACTTTTGGCCTACCACAAACCTGCCTCCAAGTGACGGCTCGGTCGCTGATGCACCAGGGACGTCCCACAATGTCAATTGTGCCCTACGTGTTGGAAGATGTTTCTGTGTGTATGCATCCCTGACAATCAGGACGCAAAAAGCCCTCACGTCGCGGGGAGGAGAAATGGACTATACGACGATGAATACCGAATCACCATCCCCATCAGGCAAACATGACTATACCTCAAGTTCCCGTTCGATCTCCCTTCCAATGCCTTCCCGCTCTTGAAGAGTCTTGTCCCGAATGAGTCGTGCGAGCCATCCCGCGTCTTGGCAGCTTATTGAAGTAATGATTCTCTTAGCCGTGCTGGGGTCCTCTTGCATTGTGTCATATAGGTCGTATATCGTGTCAGGAGGTTCGCCTGGTAGAGGATGAGCGTGACATCATTAAGTCTGAGCTCGATAATTCGTTACCATCATCTGGGGTGCAAAACTTCAACCCAGCACGCTGTTCTAGCCGCTCTACGTAATCTACCATCATAACCCTACGTTCCTCGTACACCGACCATAACTTTGATGCCTCCAACTCACGACTCGCCTATATACACATAATCAGCGTGTAGAGAAGGCAGCTTGAATTAGCGCACCTTCCACTGTGCATCGAGGGCGCCCTCATCTTTCGCGCTGTGGGGCCCTTCCCGCCGTTTGCGACCGTTTTCATGAATGAACTCAATATATGCAACCGGGTATATCTTTTGTCCTGGTGTTCACCGACTACACTCCCATGGACAGGCATCACATACCTTGACGACTTCTAGCATCATGATAGCGATGCAACCACCATCTGCTGTCAAACTTTTGAGCGTTGGTATGAACTGCACTTTATGAAAGCCAAGTTTGGCATGCCATGGCGCCATATGAGAGGAATTGCCGGACAGTATAAGAAAATTAGAGCCATAGGCCTCGAGAATATCAGATCCCTCCTTCCGTTCACATGACAGCTGCGCCAAACAATTAGCCATCCATTAAAAACGAACGAAGCAACACAGCTCGCCTTTGCACCAACGACGGCGATTTTTCGTCCAACCTTAATTTTCCCCTTCGCTATGGCTCGTGCAAGAGGTGCGTCAACACGTGCACGTAGTCTGTACCAGCCGTCGGTGACTTCCAGCTCAGGATATGGTGTAACGGGTAAGTTATTCTCATTAAGTTCTCCTACTGACCAAGTGATGTCTGAGACACAAAGGACCATTGGTGATTCTGCTCGCGCGTCTCGAGTGGTAATCAGGCGCAGTGGTGGGCGCGAGGAACTATTTAAATCACGCTGATATCTGGCAGAGTACGTCATATATTGGTTATAGTACGCGAACAAAAGAATGACTGACCTGTACAATAACTGCCGAATGACCTCCGGCCAGCACCATCGCTTTCTAGCAGAATCCCTCTCCGTCATGGGGTCAAGGGCTACCATGCCAGCTAGCTTCCAAAGCACCATAGGCCAGTGATTCTCGACCCAGTCTTTTGTAGCGAGAGAGCATCTCTTAGCGTGCAACTCTTCTAGAGCAGCTGCATGACCCAAGGCAAGAGTGGGCGATGATCCAGAGGATTCGTGCGGTAAAGTGGAACGACTGTTGAAGGCATAGAAGAGAGCTGTACGAAGAGTAATTTGACCTAGTTCCTTGACATTTCTGCAAACGATATCGAGATGAGATTCATGAAAAAATTGGATCAACAAGCGCACATTCCCATTTCTTCGAGCTCTTCTGCACTATACGACTGCGGTTGAAGTCCTGAAGACTTCAGCGATTTCCTTCCATCCGGAAGAGCTCCATTAGGTCGGTGGTTAGTTAGCAGAAAGCTGATTACTTGTCGAAACGCACAAAGATCAAACACCTCTCCACCTCTGTTGGATGCGGTGAAGCGTGGTGAGTGTCGCACTGATGGTGGATAGATACGAGTCGAGATAGCATGGTCGGCTAACGTAGATCGTGCCATTTCATGTTTTGATGACCCGAATTCGTGAGGTCTCCATCCAGCTTTGAATGGCGTCACAAATTTAGGTCTTGACGCCCCTGCAGGCCGTGGGGTCAGCACCACAGGTTTTTGCACCATGGTTTTACCCGATAACGAAGACCAGCGTGAAGGAGAAGAATGCGCGGGCACGGACGAGAGTATAAACGAGGGGTGCGTTGTGACAGGAACGTTGAGCCGCCGTTGCTGATCGAGAGCCGATGGGGTATTCGTCACAGTAGTAGGCACAAGAGGGGAATGAGTGCATGCCCTACCCGTAATCAAGGGCGATTTGAATGCCTTTATCCGATCTGTGCCCCGTATGCGCTGAAGTGAGCCCCGCAAAGTATGAAAGGACTGTGATTGGAAAGACTTTGTGTGAGGCGCGGGAGTTGGTGTTTCAGGAGCCGATATTTGTGAAAGTGCTTTAGCAGCAGTAGTAAACGCGGCTGTTGAGGCAGAAGATGGAAGGGTCGGAGGAGAAATCTTTGCGGTTAGTGACGAGCTCAGCGTGTCATCGCCCTCTTGCCATCTCTTCATTTTTTCTTCCGCATTTCGCAGCGCAGAGGTAGAGGGAATCAAAAGACCCTCAGGACACGGCACTTCACCTGAAGGAGGTGCGCTAAATGGTGTCTGGTTTCCTCTAGATTGTAATGCAGAGGCTGCGGTCTGAAAACCCACGAAAGCAGTTGCAGAATCGGAATTAAACCATGCTGTGTAGTCAGCCGCTGGTGGCTCTTCTTCGGAGCAGGAACCATCGTCAGCAAGATCATCCGTAGAGGTGATGCGGACTGCTGAAGCTCTGGTAAACGAGGTGAATATGCGAGCTGGATTGTTCGTCTCGTGAGACGTCGTCCCTCCTGGGGCCGAGAATGGGTTTTCGTCCTCATCTAAGGCGATATCGTTCAATGGGGCGCGACTTGCACCGGGAACGGTGGGCTCCTTCCTTTGTCCCTGAAGTGAGGCTTGCCTGTTATGGTGTGAGGTAGAGTCCACTTGAGAGAACTGAGCGTTCAATATGTCGAAAGAATTAATGTCTTCTTGGCTCAATTCTTCAAATTGGCTGTCCAGCGTCGGAGAGGACATTCTCATCCTCTTTCGAGCACCTGAAGGAGATCCTGGCTGATAAGAGTAAAATCCAATATCAAAAGTTGAGATGCTGCTAGCCTTGTCCTGCGTCCATCGAGGATTAGAGATACCTTGCAGAGCCTGTTGGAGAGCTGGCGTTGATGTCGACACGGTTCAATAATCTAAGGGTAATAATCAAAGAGCAAGTCCTCAAAATACGCGACGCGTATTCATCACGTGACGTTTCATCCGCTTTTCGAAGTCCGCCCAGCTTCAGCACGAATTAATTCAATCTCCGCTTCGGTCAAGCTCGGCATTGCGGTAACGAGAGACGACTTGAAAGGATTTCAGGGCATTTACAAAGAGATGGCTCCTACTCTAGAGCCATCTCTTCGCGAGCTACTCCAAAGTCAGCTGTAACTTTCGAGTTTGACGGACACCGTTCTGTGGTATGAAACCCGCTGTAGCGTGGAGATGACCCATGCCATGTAATTCCTACCGCAAGGTTCCTAATGAAATTCAAAATTGCAAGTGCTACTGCATCTCTGCTCCGTATTAGCTAGGAATGATCTATTAAGTTTGCCGTGACTATATGTTATGTACTTTGCTGATTATCCGTAAGATTTTGCAAACATCACGGTCGTCGACTCATTGTTCTCCAAGAAACAAAGGTCTTCGCTTATCCTAAACACTCGTAGAACATTCGTCTCCTCGATTTCTGCATTCCGTGCATCTCTCGTCGAGCACATACGTCCAGTACCACTACGATCGGGGGCCCAGTACCGATGAATGCCACGGGCACCAACAGTACGCAGCTGTACCCAACTGCTCGCATTCCCAAACCACCTCCGACAGGACCCGCACCTCCCCCTCCCGTTGTCGCATCTCCTGCCCCGCAAGATCCCCCAATGCAACCATCGCCCGGAAACAGACAGTCTGCACATCCTGCTACCGCAGTAAACGGCACTCATTCTCATAACCAGAAAACAAAGAAGAAGAACGAAACTCCAGTTGACCCCGCTGCCATGTATGAGAGTCTCAAGAGTAGGATTGCAGCTCTCGAAGAAGAAGAGGTTCTTGAAGAGGAGGAGGAGCGGAAATTCGGTGCGCTTCTGTTTTGTCTTGGACCCTCGAGGACGTACTCTCATCGCCATATAGCTGAGGAGGCCGTGAAATCTGTGAAAGGTATGGGGGAGAACGCCATTCACGCCAAGTACATCGAACTAGTACGTCGTATGTGATCAATCCGCGAGCCTTCACACATGCTCCTGCAACGTAGTTTGCGGAGTTCAAGAGGTTAGAACGGGACCATGCAAAGGAAAAGCAGAAACTTGTCAAAGATAAGGACGCAGGTTGGCGCAATAAATGAGTGCATAATTATCCTTCTGACCCTTCGGGTAAACGTCAAACAGCCAAGGGCCAGTTAACCAAAGCAAATCAAACGAAAGCGAAGATGGAGAACTTGGCTCGGGAATTGCAAAAAGTAGGCTTTTGAAAACTCCCGGATCTCGTCTTACACCCCTCACAGGACAACAAGAGGCTAAGGGTGCGCATCGCGTACGCCGTAAAAGGGCCACAAAGATGCTGACGTCCGTGCAGGAGGACAGCAAACGTTTGGCGCAGTGTGTAGAGGAGGCACAGGAAGAGGTATAGCGGTGAAGCTTCATAATAACTGCTCGCTCGCGCTTACGCACATCACAGATAATCCAAATGA